AATTCACCTAGACGTAAAATAATAATTGAGTTAAATAACCTAGAGAAAACACAGCCCAGCCACTGCATTGCATTCACTTGGGTGTAATCACAAATTAGGATGGTTGGGATAGGGTGAGAGTATTAGAAACTAATACGGTTAGGTGGAGAGAGAGAGGGGGGAAGGTTAATCACTGAATCCTTGTTTATCGATTCAGCACACGGACACGGGCTGTCGAAATGACGAAACGCCTATGCTGTAGGTACAGAAAGTGGTGACAAACAAGACGGGGAGGAGGGAGAGAGAGAAAAAATATATAAGACAGATTGTGAAGCCATGTGACTGAATTTATATGATTATAAGCAATAATTGGCAAAGTCAAACTTTAAGCACCACTGACTACCACCAATCAGTGAATGACCTCGAAGGCACCAATCACGTGAAAGAGGCGCTTTTTTGTATGGAATACATATATTTATGAAAAAAATGCAGAAAAACTGCAGAAAAGTGTTACAGAGGATACCGTCGTCTAAATGTTGATGTGAGCAAACTTGTAGCACCTGCTACTTCTTTGAAATATCAGAATGAGTTACAATCAATGCTTGCCAGCAACCCCCAAGTAGTATAGATGAACATTGGCTTCATGTGCAAGGTGCCATGCAAAAGGCGAGTGTAGCCGCTTGCGGCTTGAAAGAATGCTCCGCTAAAGACCACTGGGTTTCTGCGAGTTCCTTGCAACTCATGGATGAACACCAGTCCATTCCGGCTGGCAGCGAATACAACAATATGCGAAAGGCGCTCACGCGCAAGATTAGACAGTGTTTACGTAAGGACCGCGAGGCCTGGTGGTCAGAACGTGCGTGTGAGATGGAGTCAGCTGCTGCATCTGGCAACAGTCGGAAGCTGTTCCAACTCATCCGAGCCACCGGTGGCAAGAAACAAGGTGTCAGCGAGACGGTCTGTGAGGCTTGAAAAGACGCCTGGAACGCTGGGCAGAGCACTTCGGGAAGCAGTTTAGCTGGCCACCGGCTTCAGTGTCTACTATCATTAGCCCGAGTGCTCCTTGGTCGGTTAGTACCGACCCACCCACCGAAGCGGAGGTCCGTAAGGAAGTCCAAGTATTGAAACGCCATAAGGCGCCCGGCCCAGACAATTCACCCCCGGCTCTTTTTAAAGATGGTGGCGAGACTCTCACAATGGCTCTAACTGGGTTGTTCAGGAAGGTATGGAAGACTGAGAGTGTACCATCAATGTGGAACGAAGTAATTATCGTCCCCATCTTTAAAAAGGGTCGATGTAATTCGTGTGACAATCATAGGGGTATCAGTCTGCTACCAGTCGCGTCTAAAATATTGGCTGTTGTCTTGCTTCGCAGGCTGTGCAAAATACGTGAAGGATTGATTCGCGAAGAGCAGGCTGGGTTTCGTTCAGGTCGTGGATGCATTGATCATGTGTTCACCCTTCGTCAGTTGTTGGAACACCGCCACACGTATTGCAGGCCAACGATCGTTGTGTTTCTTGATATTAGAGCTGCCTTCGATTCGTTGGACAGAACTGTGCTCTGGAACTGTCTGTTAGAGAGAGGTGTACCTGAGAAATTTGTTAACATCTTGAAAGCCCTATACAGAAACACCTCAGGTAGAGTGAGGGCATACAACCAACTATCACCACTGTTCCCAACCAACAGTGGGGTTAGACAGGGTTGCCCAATCTCTACATTTCTCTTTAACTCCGCCATCGATGACATTCTGGAGTCAGCTCTGAAGGATGTGCGTGAAGGTGGTGTAGATCTGCTACCTGGAGATAGACTTTTCGACCTCGAGTATGCAGACGATATCGTCTTACTGTGCGATAGCATGCCGGCTGCCCAAATCGCACTTAATCAGTTGGCGATCAGTGTCTGTAAGTATGGTATGTGCTTTGCGCCGTCTAAGTGCATGGTACTGTTACAAGATTGGCAGGAGCATGTAGCTGGGTAGTTGTGTGAGTGCTGGCGGATGAGATTTCCAACCGTATAATGAAGGCTAGGGTGGCATACATCAACTTGAGCCACCTATGGCGCCGACGCGACTTTAGCCTGGCTGTCAAAGGTCGGGTATACAATGTTTCGGTGCGGGCTGCCCTGCTCTACGCCTGTGAAACCTGGCCTCTCCGAGTAGGCTGAGGATGTGCGGCGACTCTGCGTGTTCTATCACCGCTGTCTCCGCAGGATTGCCTGCATCCGATGGCATCATCGCGTGAGTAATTCTGAGGTTCGGCAGCGTGTGTTTGAACACAGTAGAGATCACCATTCATTGAGTGTCGTCATCTGGAAACACCGGCTCCAGTGGCTTGGACATGTGTTGCGAATGTCACCCCAGAGGCTTCCGTACAGGTCTCTGTTCTCTAGCCCTGGGATGGGATGGAAAATGCGGAGGGGTGGTCAGTCCATGACGTGGCGTCGTGGGATGAACGATTCTTGTGCTAGATTAGCATCGGTTGGTGTGTCACGACTCCCGCAATCATCAATGGCGAACGTGTTGCAATTTCCTTCTTTCTTCCCTTCCCGATGATAGTTAACGAACACTGTTTGAACTTGTTAACTACCACTGTTTTCCTTCCAGATGAAGTTCTTTATCCGTTCTCTACTTATATTTTTTAAGCTTTTAATCTATGTTGTTTTATTATTATTGTGTGGCGCATCCTTCTTGGTGCCATATTGTACCAAGTTTTTTTATGCGTCTAAATAAATAAATAAATACAGAGGATATCTTCCTCTCAAATGTGATAAAAATAGCTCTCAGTTTTAGGTTAGAGTATCAACAGAGTAAAATTCCACCGTGGGTAGAATTTAATTTGATAAAGGCTCACAGTGTTGTTATACAGTAATATTTACTGGGCAATAAATTGTGCTAGAAATGTGGTCATCAGTAAATATTACTTACTGTACAACACTGTGAGACTTTATCAAAATAAATTTTACCCACGATGGAATTATACCCTACCACAGTGCACAAGTTGTATTATTATATCAACCGAGTAATTTAACCACATTCTATGCATGTAATTATTTAGGTCTTCTAACCCTAACAATAACCCTAATCTTTCCTGAACCTAATCCTAATGTGAAAATATCCCTAAACTAATTGTAATCTAACTCGAACCAACCCTTTACTTTACTTTACTTCGGCTATCTCCTACGGGAGGATGAGCCGGCTTCATGAATGTCTCGAATCATCGCTGCCCAGGCGCGGCAATTTGTAAGAGAGTTCATGAAGTTTCATGGGAATTTTGTACGAGTGATGTCCCCAGCATCGCTTGGCCTTTTGTTTGAGAGTGCAGCTCTAGCCTTTACACAGCCAAGTGTGACCTACAATGCAGTAGGAGTGGAGTAAGGAGTCCACTATCCATTGGAAGCCAGCCGGTGACCGCAGTTCGGTTCATACGCCTTTTTGAATGGGGCCAGACATCCAGGACATCCAACAAGCCCTTTGTCCATACGTCTGCCGGTGAGCTCCAGTGAGCTTCATACGCCAGTCGTTGGAGGTTTGGAATCAGGGTTTAGCCATCTCCCTAGACTGTCATCCAATGGACAGTCAACCCGGTGGAGAGCGCCGGGCATCCGCTTTCGCCTTCTCACTTTGGTGAGAAACACCTCCGCCACGTGAAGGCAGTGAGTAGGACTTCCTCAGGAGAGGCTATGTAAGACGCCCGGTCATATGGGAGCATTTCAAGAGGTGTGCGGAGGGGTGGCCAACCCGCAGCGCAAGGCACCCACCCCGACCATCCTGAGGCTTTGGAGGCTTATGTCGCCTTCATTAAGTTAACCTAATCCTAACTCTTGTCCTTGGCTTAAACTGTAACTTAAACTCTCCCAAACCTAAGTTGAAACTTGCCAGATATCCAATTTTAAAACATTACACTCCGATGAGCATATTTTATTGATGATGACAACATTATTTGCCGGCTTTCACTAACTCGTTCAGTGAGCGTTTCAAGGTAACTGGTGCAGTAGTCACACTCCATTGGCAGTAGTTAGTGGTGTTTAAATTTTAATTTGGCCCAATAATTTATGCTGGAAACCTTGCCATCCAGTTTGTTAATACTGCACCACTCACTGTGTGACATTCGCAATAAACTTACCCAACATGAAATTACATTCTACCATTATTTATTTAAACGCATAAAAAACTTGGTACAATATGGCACCAAGAAGGATGCGCCACACAATAATAATAAAACAACATAGATTAAAAGCTTAAAAAATATAAGTAGAGAACGGATAAAGAACTTCATCTGGAAGGAAAACAGTGGTAGTTAACAAGTTCAAACAGTGTTCGTTAACTATCATCGGGAAGGGAAGAAAGAAGGAAATTGCAACACGTTCGCCATTGATGATTGCGGGAGTCGTGACACACCAACCGATGCTAATCTAGCACAAGAATCGTTCATCCCACGACGCCACGTCATGGACTGACCACCCCTCCGCATTTTCCATCCCATCCCAGGGCTAGAGAACAGAGACCTGTACGGAAGCCTCTGGGATAGTTTCAATAATAGTTTTGTTGTTTTACTTCATTTCTTGTATGAGGGCTGAGATACTGCTCGGGCGCCCAGACCGAAGCAGGTGGTTTTCTGAAGGGATCACCCCGCGAGCCTTTGACTTGGAGAATAATCCGCGAGGCAGTGGGGCAGCGTCAGGAGCTGCATTCCCATGGTTGCCGGTGTCCCATGTGGGTTCTTGCGCCATTTGATCCGATTGGATACTGGAGCCCATGTACCCCACCATGGCAACTGCTTTTAGTTTAACCGCTATCCAAACAACCTTCCTGACATGGTAGGACCTGCAGGGACATAAGTCCCAGCCAGTTTAGCTTGTTGGATCACTGTGGTATTCAAGCCCGACCACCACGGCAAGGTAGCAGTTATCGGCCGGGTACATTCTACCACCAAAGTGCCCAAGTTTTGCACTTACATTAATGACAGACAACCTCGTCAATTAATAAATAAAACAAACAACACAGTCGACCACCACCACCTACCTTAATTTGACGAACAATTTCAAATTCTGATGTTGTATGAAAATCAGCACCTTCTTTACGCAATAATAATCGTAAGAAACGTGTTACATCACGACCAGCTAAATCTGTACGTTCAATTGCATGCGGTAGAGCATAACCTTCATAGATAGGCACAGCGTGTGTTACACCATCTCCTGAATCCAGAACAACTCCTGTAGTCCGCCCTGTGGAATATCTGTTATATATGTATTGCAAAATGATGAAAACAGAAAACAATGAATACGTGATGAGAGTGTAGGCGGATACAGTTCACAGATAGATGATCTGACATTCAAGAAACAGCAGCCAAAAAAGAGATGCAAGGGGTTACCGTTCTGTGAGAAACAACAACCACCAATCAGAAGACTGTGGTTTTTCTGCTAACAATAATCTATAATAATAATAATAATAATAATAATAATAATAATAATAATAATAATGTACATGAAAATCTATAAATACGTGTTGATTTCCTTAATAAACGATCTGCTTGCCTGGCACTTGTCTTCTGCTGTTACAAATATATTTTCACAGAAATAAAATTAGTAAATGGATAGTTTTGATAGTATGAATCACCTGTTAAGTTGAGAAACACACACCTCCTATGAACAAATTGGAATCACCAAAAATACCCATTGAGTCATGAAGAAAAATAAAAGACCTATTCAGCGAAGAAAATGATTCTTTCATGTGTTGGACGAAACAGCTGGCTGTCCAATATTCTCAGGTTTTCCAGTGGTTCAATGGTCTACGAGTTCGCCTTGTAGCCAGAAAGTCCTGGGTTCGAACCCCGGTGGGTGAGCACTAATGAAGAGTCCTAAACTAGGACGAAACAGCTGTCCAATACTTCCAGGTTTTCCAGTGGTTCTCTAACTGGTGTCAGCTCATGGTGAAATCCTCCAAGTAAACTGATTCTTTATCGACGAAATCATCTTCCTTCAGAGCCTGCCTGTACAGTTGTATTTATACTTACAAAAACAATATTCAGTGGCCTACTATTGAGTAATGCAACTGGGGTGACATAATTGATATAATTACTCAGAAGTGGCTTTAGATGTGAAAGTTAAAAGTTGGAAACTACGTAGTACTCAACGGCAAAAAGATAGAAATTTGATAAGGTTAAAATTGTTATTGAATGAGAATAAAGGTGATAGTTGAGTGTCAATTTAACAAGTGTGAAAAGGGTGTGACAGTGTACAGAAGGAGCATATGAGAGTGATAATAGTGTGAATTAATTATTAAAGCAAAGTAAAAGTAAAATTAAGAATTCAAAAGAAAAAATCAAATAAAATAAAATTTATTTTAACATGGAACGACTAGTGAAGAGGTTAAGGCCAAGGTAGGATAAGAGACTGGACAAACTCTTTCTGTATACACAGAGTTCAGGGTTGTATTGATGAATTGCCAACGCCTCCGCCATACACAAAAGCCGAAACCTGACGCCCTTTGTACCATTTGGCTTCACCTTGTAGATGATCTTGAAAGACGAGTTTGGTGGAGCTAGGTGACCTGAGTTCTTCAAGTGCTCGAGAATTGAGCTAGTAATTGTCTTGCATTGTCCCTTCGCTAACCTTCGGATAATGTTCAGAAATGCTTTGTTTGGAAAGCGTGAGCTTTGTGCGGCCAATATAACTAGCTCCACACAAGCAGGTGAATTTATAAACACACACTGAGGTAGCCCAAAGCGGCAGTTTATCCTTCACACATCCATTGATCATTTGTCGGCTGTAGAAGCTGATACGTAGGTCAGCCATAAAGAAGGTTTTTCTCAGTGATCTGCATAAGCTATTCTTCAGGATCTCAGCTGCGGTATCACCTTTAAATTCAACGCAGTTTCTTCGGTACCATCTGAGTTCCTTCAGGCTTTTCCCTTAATTTCATGTTTTTCTCGATGAATCTTGGAGGATATCCATTCTCTATGAGGACTTGTCTGAGTCGCCCCAGTTCCCCATCGATTGTACCACTGGAACATATCCTCCTTATTGTTGAGGATAGGGAATGGATCACATTTCTCTTTCTTCTCAAAGGGACCCAACACTATGGAAATTTGTGTACTGACCATGCCATGTTGGTTTCCTGTTTCGATTTGAATTTTTATTTCCTTTTTAATTTTACTTTTAGTTTGCTTTTGCTTCAATAATTAATTCCGAGTCTGACAGCTCCAAACTTAATAGCTTTCTGTTGGACGTCAAAAACTGGTTCAAGTCAAATGGTCTTATATTAAATCCTTCCAAATGTCAGGCGCTTGACTTTACTTTCAAGCATCGACGTGACTTACTTGAACTAGTTAACTCGCATGATCCCTGTAGCATAGATGGCTCGGATATTGAAACCAAATCAAGCATTAAATACCTTGGATTAGTTTTTTCCTCTGACCTTTCATGGTCATCCCATATCTTATCTATCTCTAAGAAAATGTTTCGTCTTACCTTCTACATTAAAAAGTTAAGACAATCAGGTATCAACCAACCTATAGTTTTGCAATTTTTAAACTCCTGTATTTTACCTATTGTACTCTATTGCTCTCCATTAATCTCTCCTGGGCTTCTCAAAAAAGATTATATCATATTACGAAGAGTATTAAATGCTGTGAGTAGAGCTTGTGGTCTGCCACTGCATGAGCTCGCTAACACTATAGTCGAGAGGCATATAAATTCCTGTACGAAATGGGCAAAGGCTATAATGTCAGACCCTCTGCATCCCCTTTATTCACACCTGTCCCCTTGTATCTCATCAGGTAGGCGAGAAATCAATATAAAAAGTTATATGCTCGTACTACTAAGTATAGAAATTCTACAATACCTTATTTAGCGCGTACTTTATGTGACGAAGACTCTGTTAGACGTGAAACTTACAAGTTACTATGTAATTAGCACAGTGAATCGACCCTTTTATCGTTCATCTTTCTGTATTTCATGGTGTCACACTTTCTATCGTTTAAATCGTTACTCTGCTATTTTATTTTTAGTTGGTATTACTATTATTACTACAATTTTGTACTTTATGCATATTTTTCTCCGTATGGCACACAGTATTTTGCTACGTAGCTGCTATAACAATCGTTTTATTACTATTACGTAATGTGTATTTTTAATTATTTTTTGTCGTTTTTGAGTAAATTAGATGCAATATTGTACTGAATGCTGAAAATTCCTTGCTGTATCATGAGTACTGTTTTTGGAATAAAGCTATTATTATTATTATTCACACTATTATCACTCTCATATGCTCCTTCTGTACACTGTCACACCCTTTTCACACTTGTTAAATTGACACTCAACTATCACCTTTATTCTCACTCAATAGCAATTTTAACCTTATCAAATTTCTATCTTTTTGCCATTGAATACCACCACGTAATTTACAACTTTTAACTTTCACATCTAAAGCCACTTCTGAGTAATTATATCAATTATGTCACCCCAGTTGCATTACTCAATAGTAGGCCACTAAATATTGTTTTTGTAAGTATAAATAAGACTGTACAGCCAGCCTCTGAAGGAAGATGATTTCATCGATAAAGAAGCATTTTCTTCGTTGAATAAATTGGAAGTTGAGAGTACTGAAATATCGATAATAAATATTAGACGGTAGGAAGGCAATCGACGCAGCCACCCGCCCCCCCACGCCTACCTCGGTAAGCCAGTAATGAAAAGATGGTAGAGAGGAAAAGTTGGGCATATAAGGCTAGCAACCCGATTATCTCGTAAAAATGAAGAACACCACTGCTACAGAAACTTTAAGCCTCCAGGCTTGAAGCCGCCATATGTTCCACTGGAAACAAGAAGATTTAAAAAGAAATTGGATCATAAAAATCTAGTTAAACCTATATGATGGTACAGGACTGGACTACACTGACTCCTAGTTTAGAAATAGGGATTGAAGTGGTAGAGCACGTTGACTGCTTCACTTATTTAGGAAGTACCATCAGCCAGTGCCAACACGTTGATTTCTGACGAAATCTCAGCACAGTTACAGAGGGCTAGCTTCGCATATGCCAGTTTACGCCGTCTCTGGCCTAGTAGATGTGATATCCAGCTGGCTATCGACCAAAGGACGGGTGTACTGCTAATCAGTCCGCTCCGCCCTCCTTTATCGTCAGCTGTGAGACCTGGCCATTAAGAGTGGAAGACATGAAAATGTTAGCTGTCTTTGATCATAGGTGCCTGCGTTCTATCCCCCATGTGAAGTAGTATAATAAGGTGAGCAATATTGAGGTCAGGAATTGGTCGAGTGCTAGGTAGATGGGAGGGGAAATCAATCGACGAGGCTGTGAAATTACATCGACTGAGATGGTTAGGACATGTGTTACGGATGCCTCGTCATCGCCTTCCTCGACAACTGTCAATGTTAGCTGATATAGGGTCAGACTGGAAAGTACCTAGCGGCAGTCAAACCAAAACATGGCTCCATCAGTCAATGAAATCCGCAACAGTTAGTTTAAGCCAGGCACGTAGGAAGGTGTAGACTTCATGCCTGGTTGGGGTCCCCGGGACGGTAAAAACCAATGACAGCTTGAAACAAATGGTGATATGGCTCAAAGTGATCGTTCTCAATGACTGGCGGAGATGAATCCACTCCTTGTGACCTATAATTTCCAATGAAACTATATTGTTCTTCGTAATTACTACTCCTTTGTCTCACACCTCTGTTTACTGTCTCTATTATGCATTTCTTCTAATTTCTTCTTTTGCTTTGTGTGCTACAAGGAAGGAGTGTGGCGGCTCGAGCTGGTGTACATCGGTGCAAAGTTCCATGTTGAAAACAGACAGACACAGTTAAACCTAGAATGATCGAGTTAAATAATCTAGAAAAAAGGTCAGCCATTGGATTGTAGGCACTGAGAAAATAGCGTAGGTGGGACAGGGAATATTAAGGAGTAATAGAATTAGCTGGAGAGAGAGATAGTTGGCTTGATCACTGGTGGTTTTGTTTATCGATTCAACACCGCATACGGGCTGTCGAAATAACGCAATGCCTATGCCGGAGATATGCAAAGTGGTAACACACAGGAAGGGAAAGACGGAGGGAGGGAGAGAAGCCGTGTGACTAAAATCGATATGATTATGAGTAGTGGCAATAATTTATGTTCGAAAGCTTGTCATCCAGTTGTTAGAAGTGCATCATCACTGTGCGATATTTGCAATAAACTTATCTAATGTGGAATTATAAAAAAAGAGAAGACATTCAGCGAAGAAACTCTTTTCGCCGGCGAATTCACTCACATGGCTGTACAATCGCATTCACATGTAATTATTTGTGTGTGTACATGAGGTTTGTCAAGTTTAGATAATTAATCAGGTAATACAAGAATGATCTAATATAGAAACAAGGTTAATTAGACAGCAACTTAAGCAAGATTGAGTTAGTAAGTTAGATGACGTAAAATAATTGACTAAAATGTTTCAACTTCGGTCAGGATAGCAACAGAGGTAATTACAGGTAGAGACTAAGTAGAAGTGGGGTACAGAATAATGCCATTTAAATTAGAACTAAGATTGAGGAAATAAATTGGATGACGTAACATAAATAACTAGAAATTGAGTGTTGATCAAGTCAGTAACAGTGGTAATGAGGTGCAGAAATTAAATCGGGTAGAGGGCAGAAAACAAGAAGATTAAACCCGTAAAATATTACAATTGAAAAGAAAGAAATAATACTAATGAAGAGACAGAAAAGAAATAGAATTTACCTGTCGGATATTGAGACAGATTACGTCCATTTCAGGTCTGTCTGGATTCAACATAGAGCTTGGCACCGAAGTGCAGCAGTTCGAGTTGCCACATTCCAAATAGCACACAGAGGTAGACAAGAAGATGAGTGAAGAGAATCAATACAGTCTGACAAGTATAAGAGTGAAACAGAGTGGGTGGTAATGGAAGAAAGGAATATGAAAGATTACAGAGACTGAATACATCTGCGCTAGCCATTGACAACGATTTTCAGCCATGTCACCTATTGTCTCTAGCCATTGATTCCTAGAGTCCCGAGGGCCCCAACCCGGGAGTCTGCATCTCCCTACCTGACTCAGTTTAACTGTCAAGGATTTCATGGATTGATGAGGCCATGTTTTTGTTTGGCCACCACTGGCTCTTTTCCAACCTGCACCTATATCAGCTAGTAATTCCCGTCGGGGAGGCGATGGTTAGGCATGCGCAGCACGTGACCTAGCCATCTTAGCCTACGTAACTTTATAGCTTCGTCGATTGATTTTCCCTCTCTGCCCAACACTCTACGCCTAACGTCAACATTACTTACCTTATTAAACCACCTAACGTGAGAAAGAGATCGCAGACATCTATGATCGAAAGCAGTCAACCTTTTCATGTCTTCAACTCGTATTGGCCATGTTTCAGAGCCATAGACAAGGACGGAGCCTCAGGATGGTCGGGGGTGGGTGCCTTGCGCTGCGGGTTGGCCATCCCTCCGCACACCTCTTGAAATGCTCCCATATGACCGGGCGTCTTACATAGCCTCTCCTGAGGAAGTCCTACTCACTGCCTTCACGTGGCGGAGGTGTTTCTCACCAAAGTGAGAAGGCGAAAGCGGATGCCCGGCGCTCTCCACCGGGTTGACTGTCCATTGGATGACAGTCTAGGGGAGATGGCTAAACCCTGATTCCAAACCTCCAACGACTGGCGTATGAAGCTCACTGGAGCTCACCGGCAGACGTATGGACAAAGGGCTTGTTGGATGTCCTGGATGTCTAGCCCCATTCAAAAAGGCGTATGAACCGAACTCCGGTCACCGGCTGCCAATGGATAGTGGACTCCTTACTCCACTCCTACTGCCTTGTAGGTCACACTTGGTTGTGTAAAGGCTAGAGCTGCACTCTCAAACAAAAGGCCGAGCGATGCTGGGGACATCACTCGTACCAAATTCCCATGAAACTTCATGAACTCTCTTACAAATTGCCGCGCCTGAGCAGTGATGATTCGAGACGTTCATGAAGCCGGCTCATCCTCCCGTAGGGGATAGCCGAAGTAAAGCAAGCACGGAGCGAACTGCTGAGCAGTACACACGTCCCTTGGTTGATAACCGGATGTCACGCCTACGCCAGAGATGGTGTAAGTCAGCGAAAGCATCTCGAGCTTTTCGGATCCGTGCTGAGATTTCATCGCCAATCAGTCCGTTGGTGCTAATACAACTTCCCAAATAGGTGAAGTGGTCAACATGTTCTATCACTTCACTCCCTATCACTAAGTTAGGAGTTGACGTGGTCCAGTCCTGTAGCAGCATCTTACATTTCAGGTATAGTGACTGAATGAACTTCTTCTGTATGCAGAGTTCAGGACTTAGTAAATGAATAGCCATTGTTTCTGCAGTTTGAAGAAGTTTGATTCGTACACTTTTAGGAAGACTACCTCGTATACTATAGACGACTTCGAAGCTTTTTTTTGGGGTGTAGCTTGGTGTCCGGAATTTATCCAAAGTCTGAATACCTACTTATAACCGAAGACTTTGATCATGCGAAAAATTCCCTCAAACTATTAATAATAATGATTATTACAGTTTTTAAGTGAATCTACAGAATAAGGATTAAACATACGCTTAAATATCGATTAGTGATTTATTTCTGTTGAGTTTATGTCAATTTTTTTCTATGCCTTCATATGACTTACACTCATTTGTGCATGGTAAAGGTGTTAATAATAGTTATAAGCTTATTGATCTAAATTTTCAACTGTTTAGAAAAAGAACTGTTGTAACAACATGCTTTCATTGGAAATTATAAGTCACAAGGAGTGGATTCATCTCCGCCAGTCATTGAGAACGATCACTTTGAGCCATATCACCAATTGTTTCAAGCTGTCATTGGTTTTTACTGTCCCGGGGACCCCAACCAGCCATGGAATCTACACCTTTCTACGTGGATTTCATTAACTGATGAAGCCATGTTTTGGTTTGACCGTCGCTAGCTCTTTTCCAGCCTGACCCTGTGTCAGCTAACATTGACGTTGTCCAGACAAAGCGATGGCTACGCTAGCATACGTAACGCATGTCCTAATCATCTCAATTGGTGCAACTTCACAACCTCGTCCATTGATTTCCCCTCAATCCTTACCTAGCACTCGACTGAACCCTAATCTCAATATTGCTCACCTTATTATACTTATTCACACAGAAGATAGAGAGCAGGCACCTATGATCAAAGGCAGTTAGCTGGTCTTTTCATGTCTCCCACTCTCAATATCCAGGTCTCACAGCTGGTCATAAAAGAGGGCAGAGCGGACTGATGAGCAGTACACCCGCCCTTTCATCGATAATCGAATATCACGCCGTAGATCTGATGGTGAGTCATCTAGCATGATGACCACATTGCAAGCAGTACTGATTGGATTCGATCGGCACCGAAAAAAGGACTAGACACCTTACATTAGTTACTAGCTGGTGTCCAATCGAAGTATCGAACACGATCCTACAGGAGGTCAATGGTGAGCCGGAATAACTCAGTGGTGGTACCGTCTCTAACCGCAGCACTCACTGAGTGACACGGATTCGAATCTAAAAGAGGAGGGGCATGAGTTTCTTCAGACTGGTTGCGGATACGCCTTGCTGTGACTAGTGGGAGTGCCAAGAAGCACGACACCCAGGTCTATGAAGGGCTTCCTATCAATAGCCTTCAACCTTTTAAATATCAACAGATCTGCAGTCCATTAGTTGAATGGTTTGACTACCAAAAGGTGGGTGGGTTATGAAATATGGACCCTACTGTAACGACAGAAGACAAGGGCACGTCAACATATCGTTTATTGAGAATATCAAGAGGTATTTATAGATTTTTATTTGCATTATTAGTAGCGTTATTGTTAGCGGAGAAGCAATCTCTTTCGATTGGTTGTTTTCTTGCTGAAGGTTATTATGTTATCTCTTTGTGGCCGTTTCTCAGAAAATCAAGCCATCTCCATTTCCTACGGTATATTTGTAGAACAGTCTGTTGCTCATTGGTTCGTTCTGGGGATAGAATCTTCAATATAAGGCGAAGGCGGTTGTTGATAAACGTCTGAAGGAGACTGTTAGAAACGCCTTTGGTGATGCACTGGCCAAATTTTCGAATCATATAGAAGAACTGACTGACTTAACCAACACTAGGCATTGAAAATCCGAATTTTGTTCTTAATGCCACGGAGTGCGAAGGATTTCCATACAAATTCCGTAGTGATGAAAGTCTGTCTTGCCTTTTCGATTCCGGCTGGTTTTTGACATCTTCATCCGTACCGTCTGTCTGTAGCTGAAACGACGCCTCCTAGACCAGGGTACTACACCTATGACATATTGCTAAATGCGCGCAAATCAATCTTTAATAAGCACCATTTGTTATTTTGCTGTGGCAAACATCATATACAGCGTGTTTTGATAGACACAATTACCATAAGCATTAAATTAGCAAAATACAAGACAAAATACAAAAATACAAGACACTACTCACAGGCTTAATACTGCTTGCATAGAAATATACAATGCAGGTACACCAAATGTTTCAAAGAATATTTCTGCCATTTTCTCTCTGTTCTTTTTAGGATTGTACGGAGCTTCTGTCAGTAGGACTGGATGTTCTTCGCTGTTCACCATCAATTGATCTTTCCCATATACATAAGCCCATATCCGTTCCATATCATTCCAATCACGAATTATCCCATGTTCAATAGGATATCGTATACTTAATAGGCCACGATGTTCTTCTGCTTTAGGTCCAATAAAATCATCGCCTTCAAGTGCACCAGCCATAACTCTGACATGTTTTGGACGACCAATACTTTATGATGATAGGGAAGAGCAGAATTAATTTTAACAGTTTTGACTTACTAATTTGGAAATCGATACTTTGGGACTTGATCCCCAGCGAATCCTGCTTTCAATATACCTGTCCCCTGAAAAACAAAATAGAGAAAATAAATAAATAAGTAGAAGATAAATCGATTAAATCACGTGATACTAATTAACCCCAACAATCGGAAAATATTTATGCTACTATGATCGATTTTTCACTTTGTTTTTCATACCTTTGCGTCTCCAATGGAACATAAGGCTTCAAGCTTCGAAGTTTCAATAGCATTGGCGTTTTTCTTTTTGCTGGATGAAGTTGCTAACCTCACAACGAACTCTCCCCCACCCCCCGCCTTAATCGGGCTTACTACAAGCTAAACGAGACCTAGAAGTGCGTCGATCAGAAACCTAACCCGGATCACGTGGGTATTTGGTGAACATTCTAACACTGAACCACCGAGGCACCATTGGTTATTTACGCTGAGAGATATGAAGTGTATTCACAGTTACTTTACTTTTACTTTACTTCGGCTATCTCCTACGGGAGGATGAGCCGGCTTCATGAACGTCTCGAATCATCGCTGCCCAGGCGCGGCGATCTGAAGCAAGGTTTTGTGATAGGGATATCCAATTCTTGTTCCACATACGGAGTCCGTAGACCGTTTGTAGCCCCAGGCACTCCATATCTGCCTTGACTGTACCAAGCCATGTCTTCAGCTGTCCGCCTCTGCGACATCGCCAAGATGGTAATGGCGAGGGATTTAGAACTGATTTGACCAGATCGTCATCTGGTCGGCGCAGAACATGGCCAAACCACCGAAGGCGGCGTTGTTGGACCAGTACTGGAATTTGGTTGATGTTGTAGCAACGCCGACGCACTTCTTTGTTGGAGAGTTTGTCCTGCCAACGAACATGCAGAATGTACCTGAGACACCAATGGTCTAATACCTCGAGTCTGCGTAAATCTTCCGCGCGAAGAGGCCAGGTTTCACAGCCATACAGCAGAACGGGTCGTATGGAAGCTTGGTAGATCCGAATTTTAGTCCTGAGACTGATTTCTCTCTTGCTCCATAGAACGCTCCTCAGCTGTAGAAACGCATTCCGGGCGTTGGAGATTCGCGCATTCACTTCGTTTTTCGCTTGGCCGTTGGGGAGCATTATGGATCCCAGATATCTGAAGGATGGCACAATTTCAATAGGTGCTCCATTTAAGGATAAGATTTCATCATTGCCGGCGGATGTGTTCGAAAACATTTTGGTTTTGGAAGTGTTAATTCACAGTTGTTAATGATTATTATCATTTGAATTGCTCTTAGAATGTTAACGTTAAAGTGAGGAGTGGAATGCAACTCCCATTGACATTGCTGTCAGAAAAGTAATGGTAACTCGTCAACGATGTTCAGGAATTCTAACTAATGGCTAGTTATACTACTCTCTCTACTACTTGCCTACCTGCTACTCGGTCGGTTTGCTCTGTCCTCCTTTATGGCTGACTGAGACATGCCCATTGAAAATGGAAGACATGAGACGCCTGGCTAGCTAGATGTCTTTGATCATAGGTGTCTGCGTTCTATCTCCCATCTTAGGCGGTGGGTGTAATAGATTGAGTAATATTGAGGTGAGACATTAGTCGAGTGCTAGGTAAGGAGGAAAAGTTAATCAAGAAGGTTATGAAGTAACATCAATTGAGATGGTTAGGACGTGTGCTACGCATCCCCAGCCATCCATCCATCGCCTTCCTCGACAGGCAATGTTAGCTGACATAGGATCAGGTTGGCAAAGAGTTAGTTAGTAGCTGCCAAACTAAAACATGGCTTCAACAGTCAATCGAATCCATAACAGTTAGTTTGAGTCAGTCACATAAGGAGGAGTAGACTTCCTGACTGGTTGGGATCCTTGGAATGGTAAGAACCAGTGGCAGCTGGAGACAATTGGTGATATAACTGAAAATTGTTGTCAATAGCTGGCGCACATGTATTCATTCTTTTTGACTTGTCACATCCAATAAAACCCCATTGTTCTTTCATATTACTATTCTTTTTCCCGCATACTTCTCTCTGTTACCACTATTTTGAACCTCTCTACTATTTTCTTGCTTTGTGTGCTAAATGGAGTGTGGCAACTGTGACTGCTGGACATGTGTGCAAAGTTCTATGTTGAAACCAGTCAGTTAGTCACTACTCGGTAGGTGTAGGAGAATTCGAACACACGAAAGGCATATTAGTTGACATCTAAGTAGTGAGAACATCGGCGTCAAAGAATTACGTCCAACCTGCAACGGTGCTTTAATGAAACAGACAATATCATTAGTACTTATCCAATAAGCCGATGTGTACCACTACATACATACAGTTGCTGAGTGTTGTTTTCAGACTAAAGCTTACTGTAGAAGGACACATTATTCAGTAATTATATGCCAGACTACTGTTCATTCAATATATGTAAAATAAAAAAAGCCTAACGATATATTCACTATAGGTAAGTCCTGTGAGAATAACTCTAAAACAGAATCTCAGCACAGATACAAAACATTTGTGTGACATTTGCTGACTTGCATCATCTGTAGCGCAGACGTAATATATAGCTATCCATCGAAGGAAGTCTGTAGTGTACTGTGCTTCAGTTCCCTCTGTCTTATTTTATGGCCATTGTCATTGAAAGTGGAGGATATGAAAAAGCTAGCCATCTCTCACCATAAATTTTTGCGTTCTATTTCCCATATTAAGTGGTATGATACGATGAGTAATATTATGGTTAGGAGGAAACGCTAATCTACGAGGTTGTGAAGATGTACATGCTAAGCCACTGACTTCCTCGGCAAGCAACGTTAGCTGACTGACATAGGATTGGGCTAGAATAGTTAGAGATGGTCAAAACAAACCCTGGGATCTGTCTGTCTGTTTTCGACATAGAACTTTGCACCGATGTGCACCAGTTCAAGCCGCCACACTCCCTCCGTGTATCACACAAAGCAAGAGAAGAAAGTAGAAGAAACGCATATTAGAGACAGTAAGCAGAGGTGTGAGACAAAGGAAAAGTGGTAACGAAGAACAAAACAGTTTCATTGGAAATTATAAGTCACAAGGAGTGGATGCATCTGCACTTGCCATTGATAACGATTTTGAGCCATATCACCATTTGTTTCAAGCTGTCATTGGTTTTTACCGTCCCGGGGACCCCAACCAGGAAGTCTACATCTTCCTGCGTGGTTTAAACTAACTGTTGTGAATTTCATTGACTGGGATCAGTCTATGAAGTCGTCGACAGTTGGTTCAACCAATGTAATGAGACGTAAACTTATTGGTTGAGGACCTGAGGATGGCACGAACCAATAACTGGAGATTGTTGGTGATATGACTCAAAATCGTTCCCATTGGCGCAGGTGCATTCATTCTTTGTAATCTCTAACCTTCGTCCCCGGAACCTTCATATAATTTCCATGTTATTATTCTTCTAGTATATTTCTACTTATTATAGTTCTCAATATCAAAGTCACCTCTATAGACGAATGTATACCTTGATAGTAAGTTCAAGTGTGTCCTCATGAGACCACTCCAATTTGCATATATCAATTCCCCTACTCCTGTGAAGTTAGGCACATAAAGGTATTTTATTCACATCTCTACAAACCGTATTAGAAAAAGCTGTCTAGAATAGTTACAAAGAGGCAACACTGGTTTAATCGTCACCACCTGTCACAACTTATAAGTTGATTTATCAACTAAAGTCGTTCACAAAATGAATAAAAGCCTACTACAGGCAGTGTGTTTCCGACTTTGTTGTACAACTGAAGCTCTCACCATATGCATTGAGAAGCCGGAGTTGTGTTCAAAAGAAACTAGTTCAACCTCCTCATCACTGGTCTTACTACTGGCTGGCTTAGCAAGGTGACGGAGTGCGTTGGCCGGGAATTGAACCCCGAACCACATGCTTGGATGGTGAGGATTCTACAGCTATACCACCGAGCCACCCATTTCTTCGTTGTCGTTTATTCCATTCTCTTCGTTATTTTTTCATCTTCACTTATAAAACCGATCATTTCAATTTGTTTCTATTCATATTCTGTTTACATCTGTCTTTGTTGAGAACTATTCTACATGTTATACTATTATTTTCTAATTCTATGTAATTTTGTTTATATACCCCGTTGTGATCTATATTCATACCTTTAAAATTGAAAATTATTTTCTGCTTCATCACTGTGTTGAATTATATACTTTTAACTATGCGGATTTATGTAAAAAAAATGTGATTGTGCGGCTGCTTTGGGGGCAAATCACCGAAAAGATAGCTATCTTTGCTGAACTTTTTGTTGCTGTTTTTTCTTTCTCTCTAATCTTCTGATGGGTATTTTTCAAGAATTGTACATTTACTGTAGAGTTAATCCACGACACAAGGCCTTATGCAACATCTCAAGTGATCCGATAAATTAAGGCCATGTTCCTTTTTTAGAGTTGAACTATAAGTAGTGGAATGTGTGTTTGGACTCTCCATTTAACACACTCCAGCCGGCAACTGCTACCTTGCCGTGGTGGTCGGGATTGAATACCGCAGTCATCCGGAAACACCGGCTCCGGTGACTTGGACATGTGCTGCAAATGTCATCCCAGAGGCTTCCATACAGGTCTCTGTCCGCTAGCCCTGGGACGGGATGGAAAAGGCGGACGGGTGGTCAGTCCATGACGTGGCGTTGTGGGATAAAGTATGTTTGTGCTAGATTACCATCGGTTGGTGCGTCATGAATCCCGGTTGGGATCTGCGAGATAGCTCGAGTCGATATCGGATATGGCCAAGAATCGTAATCAATAGGCGAACGTGTTGCAATTTCCTTCTTTCTTCCCTTTCCGACGATCTATGTAGTTTTATTATTATTGTGTGGCGCATCTTTCTTGGTGCTATATTGTATCAAGTTTTCTGCGTTTAAATAAATAATAATTTAACACACTAGATATCACTAAATTAGTCACACAAAACTATGTAATACTAGAATCCTTTATATTCATTTTTAATGAATATATCACGAGTGGAGCAGTACTATTGACTGCGTTATATATCCAGTCAACGCATTAGTATGGAATTACAAACTACTACAGTGACTAAATTTTACGCAAAAATGTTTCACTTTCTAAAGTTATATTCACTATTGCATTTAAACATCTTAACTAAGTTAAACCAGTTGTAAATTCTCACTTTCGAATACATTTATGACGAACTCATGATTATAGACACGTATTAAGAGTCCAGTGATGGAGTGAGTTAAACATTATATTGTATTTGTACAACGTGTATCGCGTGATTAATTAGTTTACATCCACCGTCCTTTTCTGTCACCAACAACGGATCATCTTTGATATGTTTGGGTGAACTCAAGAATAACAACAACGCCGGAGTTCTGCTTATCCAACACACTCATGGTCAAAGTTCTTTGAGACTACGAAATACGATATTGTACAAACGTTTTGATAGCTATGGACGCGTGGATTAAGGAAGCTTAGTAAGTCAGAATTCTTTATACACCATGAATAAAATCTTATTTAAAATTTTCGGAGGAATATTTGAATATTTTAATAGTAAAACAATCTTAAAAATACATGGGCAAGAATAGATTGACAATATTTTCACTGATTGATACTAATGTGCTATATATTAACCCGATTGGATTACAACTAAAGCCGCTTCTTCATTAAACGTGTAGTCGTTGCCCATAACAAAAAAACAGCTTCATGGAAACAATACTTTTAAATAAATAGAGATGACCGGAAAATCCAAACCATAGGAAAACTAAATAAACCAAGTCAGTTTTCTTCCAATGAACTATGAGGGGTAAGAATTCTTCTTACATTGTGTAACCCCAACTGTATAGGCAGAATTAACTGGAAACCATGAGATTTACTCGTAGGAGTAAAAATCATGCCTGAAAGTCGGTATTCATACTTGTAAGGTTAACTTAATATATTGCACGAATGCGAAATGTACCAAAAATCAGACGTTAGAACAACATGACATTGGAAACTTAGTTCACCAAAAATCACGCTACTTACAATATCTATAACTACGGGTTGATTCGTGATTACATCATAGGAATCCATAATCCCACAAGGTAGCGCACAAAATCCAAATTTGGAACAGCGTCTATGACCAATGTCCAATATTCAATTTATTTGTAGCCGACTACCCAAGATAACCTGGTACTTTTAATGATACCTTATTGAAGTGGAAAAACCATCTGAGTTCTACAGCGGATTTTGATCTATTAAATTCAGTACAGTGTTCCCCGTAACACTAGTGAACGGAGTAAGTGACTGGACTTTGATCTGCTGTCAAGGGATTGGGATCCACTGTTATTTTTACGGGCTAGTGTAGACCAAATCAGTTTCCTTATGATCGCTTGTGGGTTGCATGGTAAAGGACCATGGCCTTTCGTCAATTTCTGCGTAGTTCGTACCGCCACTCGTCTGTTGTAGCTTTGGTTGACTTTGAGGGGAATGTTGCTTAGATTGGCTTTATTTAGTTTGTAGTATGCGGTGTATTAAAGCCATGTCGCTACTGGAAACGGAGCTTCTCCATTCACCCATTAGTCATCCGGTGCGTTCAAGCAGAGGAATGCCTTGGGATAATGGGACTTCTAATATTGGAGACTATCTTGTCATTGAACAGATTTCCAAATTTTTAAAAATAGACCGCAAAGTTGTTAAGAGTATGATGCGAAGTGAAGAACGAGTATTAGAGGAAAGCAGCAAGTGAAAACAGGCCAGGTGCGAGAAACATAAATACGGATTTCGTATGTTTGGTGGTTAAAAGTTTAAAATAATATTCCTTGATATCGGAACATTTCATTTGTCACTTGTAAAAACCAAATCTTTGACTGCCCTTTCTTGAAATACATTTCCCTTCTCTACTAAAGCCGAATACACACATGCGTATCCACGCACTGTGCCCTCAATCACTACGGTTTCCCTCTCGATGCCAAAATAAGTGGTCACTCGCTTTTAGACCTTACAGGAAAATCTCACCTTTGTTCCAAAGGAGCACTAACCCCCGGATGTGCGTCGGTGGCACAGCAGTTAGGACTCTTGACGACCATGCTAATGGTCTGGGGTACAATCCCCTACCGACGCACACCTAATATCAATTGGTTGACTTGCAAACTTTGGGATGCCGATATCACATGCTGAAGATTTCATACCTGTAGCAAAAATGCGGTGTGGAATCAAGCTATAGTCAAATAATAAAATCAATCAAAATCTACATGGGAGGTGCACCATCGACATATAAGTCAAGTGTTGTACATTACACTGCCAAAATTTGCGTAAAGTGGACTGGTGGTGTGACTGGGTCGCTGACCAATAGTATATAACGTAAAAAGCATATAGGCAAATAAACAGTTACAAACTTGCTAATATATGTGTAAAACTTGGACACTGTGGTAGTAAGTGGTTCTATGTTAATTTGTTTATTAGATGTATCACACAGTGAAGTTACAAACTCTCCCAGTTTGATTTCCTTTGATGGTAGGAATTTTTACTGTGGCCGCCACAGTATACCTTGAGCGGTATATCTTTGATATAAGATGGCTTAAACTAAACGTTATAAAACGATTTGCCACTGGGTCACTCAAAATCTTGCTGCAAGTCAAGATTCACAAGTATAATTTTTACTGCTGCCTGTTATGTATTTTGTGTGGCAATTCGACAACTCTTGTCCATGTTTTTGTTTGGATAATCTCTAAAAGACAATAATTGAGGTGCGGTAACTTTACGAATATCGAACTTTGTGCATCTTCCTGAACAAGTAAAGGGTTAATTCCACTTTTTGTTCGGCCAACTTTCAAAAGAAAAATTAGACATGCCAACTTTATTTGGGTAGACGGATTATTTACACCTCGTCCGGTGGATTTCCCTCCTTTATGAGTATAAATGGGTTCCGGAGGTACGTTTTAATTTTCACCCAAATACTTCATATTTCCTTGTATCTAGATGTTGCTATGGTTATCAGGCTGTGGTATTTCTTCGAAAGCCTCCACTTATGCCATTCTTTTCCTTTGATACTGATGAAAATTTTCATGTTGCACCTTGTAATATGCATTTTTCGGGGTTGCATGATTGTAAAAGTGAATGGAATATAACACGACTTTTCTTTGATCTTTTTCCGTTCTGTGTGTGTGATATTTCTCTCTTTGTATATATTCAATTCATCTAATTTTCAAGTTATAAGAACCATTAATTTAAGTTTTTTCCATGCTATCCCTGCTCACATTTGTAATTCGTTTAAAATATACATTTTACAGTGATATCCTAATCCTGTGTAAATTTTGTTTCTAAGAGTCTTGTAACCATATTCACACCTCCTAACTTCCACTTGAAGTTAAATGTTATTATTACAATTTGTTCCCATACTCATTTTTTACACACCTGCAATTAATCCTAGTCCTGTTACGATTCGAGGCTGATTTGGTTCACACTAGCTGCCAAAAATGAGGGTGGATCGCATTCCCCTGTGGTTGACATGGTGGGCTGTTCACAAAAGTGCGAAGACGGCCTGTAAATCGCTAGCTAGTTTACCAAAAGCAATGTTTTCAGCAATATCATCTACGAGGGGCTCACCGCGGCGGTTAGTATCTAGTTTCACATGTACAGAAGTATTGATGAATCACTATAATCAGCAGCCGATGGACTTTTCAATTCATTCGGTCAGGAACCAGAATGACTGAGAACTAATCCATACAGAGTGTTCAATGAAGCCTGCAGGAGCAGAATAACACCATCGAATGAGTCAGTGGGTTTCGAAGTGCAGCTGTCGGCATGTTTTCATCGTTTTTTAGATATCCTGATTGACTTATAATAATAATAATTTTTATTTCTGTAACAGAAACCAGCCATTTTTACAGGCATGAACATATGTACATTTATGAAAACTTATAGAATATATAATATGATTTGTTAATTTAGAAATAAGTTGAATACTGGTAAATGTGAGAGAAACATTTAAAATGAAGTGTACAAATAAGGAAATAGATATAGCGTCAAATCTAAACTGTGATTGAAAAAAAAATACATGTCAGTTTCACGCGGGAACCATTAATGGTTGCGTTAGTTGAGGAAGGTAAGTGGCATTTCTGTACAGGTGCTGACGTATTACATAAGAGATGCAGAATAAACAATAACTATCAGTAAATCATTCAGAAAGAGTTTTAAAGTCTATTAAACTTTAAATTTACCCGTAAGTACATCATATTTGTGACATTTCCAGTTGTTTATGAGACCACTTTGAACTTGGTTTGGTATAGTAAATGATTCGGATTTGCCAACATGATCCATAATAATAGTAATGTATATTTTCATATAAACATATAAATTTACATGAAAATGCAAGCTATTTTTACAGGCACGATCAAGTATGATATAATCTCAAATCGTAGATTGTCTACAAGTTAATAATGTTTCGACAGCTAAATATTTGATATATATAAGTACACTCATTGTCTGAAGCTGGCCGTGTAGTTATTGAATTGTATAGTTGTCCTCCAGGTTTCGCGGGAAAATCGACTTCTATCGTAAGAAATCTTATGTCCAGTGCTTTTCAGTTACACGTTTATTGAATTTAGTAATTTCCTGAAATCTGGTAAGAAAATAGGCTCTTCAACCCCCTACACTAACGTGAGGATTGCACCTAACTCAACGCCATGCCGAAGACAATGGCGTTCAGGAGCGCTGAATACAGATAACGCTAATGGTACAACTGCAAGTGATGTTCCATGCCTCGTTTCGTCTAACGATTTACCTGGTGATCGGATGCATCAGATGTTTTTGCGTGCGAAGGCAAATATTAGCTAAGTATTATATAAAGACACTACTGCTGACGCTGAAGTGGTAGACGCAGATGAACCAACAGAACACAGTGTTGAAATGCATCGTCTGCACACTGACACAAATGTCAACAGCCAGGAAACATCAAAACCCATCCCACTGGTGTTCCACCCAGTCAGTTACTCCTCTGTCTGAGAATCCATCCACCGTAGAGTACCGGTCCAATGTAGCTACCCAAGTTAGCAAGTTCTCTAGGAGTTATGACAAGCGTCTTATTTCCAATAGGAAAACTAGAGCGCTGGAGGTGTCAAAGCAACAGAAACCCCATATTACATGTGCAGCACATTTGACTACAACATCTGATTATCACACAGGTGTCTCTCAATGCGTACCCTATTCAAACGACAGACAATCCCTGACCACCATATCGCAAAGCTGCCTGCTTTCTTTCTAGGACTCAAAGATAATGGTTATTGAGTCTAAAAACATGTTACAGATGATACTCAAGGAGTGTTTTATCACGATGTTGTTCCCTCACTGAAACCACTTAGCCAGTGTTTATCTGTTATCCTATTAAATACTAGATCAGTTCTAAGCAAACACTTAACACGAAGTTCATTAGCTTCCATATGCAGACCTTCATTGATTATGATCATCGAAGCCTACTGCACAGGTGAAATCCCCAATGACAGCCTAAGAATTGATAACTACAACCTTTTTGGGGAGGACAGACAGGTAGGCCGTGGGGTGGGACGCTAATTTACTGTGAACAATCCATGTGTGCAACCCGTTCAGCAACGCGATTCTGTCGCAACTCAATGACTCCACCTGGGTCAAAATAAAAGTTGTCAGAGGTACACCTGTAGTTGTAGGCTGTGTGTACCGACCCCCTTCATCCAGCAGGCAGTATGACAGTATGCTAAGCAACATTTTTGATGTTACGACCAGTTTTCCCTTCAGTTATAAAATGATTGAAGGTGATTTTGGCATGTCAGAAGTATCACGTCCTTCACTCGTAGGACACCAAATATATGATTATATCCATCATCACAGGGTGGACACAACACGTAGATTCACCCAATAGATCCGCAAATATTCTAGACCTAATTTTCACGACCAACATATCAGTACATGTGTAGTGACCGTAAAATAGTAGTGTTCTTTTAATATCTTTCCTGAAACAAATCACAGAGACAAAGCTGGCGATGGGATTGTGCGCACATGCCGATTGGGACTTGTACAAGCATCTAATTAGATGTTCTAATTGGGACTCATACTTTTCAAACGAGTCCTTAGAGGCAATTCTTAAAAACCATTATCACAATATTAACTCATTTCATGACGTCATTGCACCTC